GGATGCTGGGCATCACTAGCCATCAGAGAAATGCAGAATAAAACCACATTGAGATACCATATCACACCAGTCAGAATTGCCATAAGAAAGATCAACCAACAACAGGTGTCAGCGAGGCTGTGGAGAAAAGGGAACACTAGTACACTGTTGGTGGGAATGCAGACTGGTGCATCCATTGTGGAAAGCAGTGTGGAATTTCCTCAAGAAGCTGAGAATGGAACTGCCTTTTGAGCCAGTGATTCCCCTTCTGGGACTATAGTCTGAATCCCAAAACGCCAATTCGAAAGATCCTATGCACCCCAATGTTCATAGCAGCACAATTTACAATAGTCAAGTGTTGGAAGAAGCCTCAATGCCCATCAGTGGATGATAGGATGAAAAAATAATGGTACGTTTACACAATGAAATTCTACGCAGCAGAAAGAAAAAAAGAACTACTAAACTTCGCGACAACAATTATGGAACTAGAGAGCATTATGCTAAACGAAATAAGCCAGGAGGCGAAAGACAAATACCATATGATCTTACCTATAAGTGTAACCTAACCAACAAAACAAAGATGCAAAGAAAATAAGACCAGAAACAATGAAAGAAAAGGAAACCAAGAGAGACAAAAGGGAAGGAAGGAGGTATGGGCGGGGGGAAAAGGAAGGGAAAGGACAAGTCAAGGAACATATAGTAAGGACTTAAGGAGAAAGCCAAAGTGAGGAAAGATTGAGGGAAGGAAAGGGGGGAGGGGGGCAGGGGAAAATGTTGGGGGGAATGCAGAGTCGAATGTATTTCAAAAAATTAATTAAAAAATAAAAAATAAAAGAATCCCTAGTTTGGCTATCCACAGAGGGGGGGAAAGAAAATATCAACAGAGACAAGAGGGAAGGAGGGAAGGGTTTGCAGGAGAAAAGGAAGGGAAGGGGAAGTCAAGGAACGTATAGCAAAGACTCATGGACATAGCTAACTTAGGGAAGGATTGAGGGAGGGAGGGGAGCAGGAGGGCAGGGGAAAGTGATGGGGGGAGGGTAGAGACAAATGTATTTGGAAATATAAATAAATTAAAAAATAAATTATTACTGGACTACAGATGGAAAATATTTTAGGTCAAATAAAATATTGTGATATTTAAATATTAAAATATGATTCAAATATTTTAAAGAGTCTAGTTTCACAGTTGCTTTTCTGTCTATCCCAGAAATAAATCAGTGCTAGGTAATTCTATTGGTTTAAAGGAGACAATTTTTATAAACAAATAAAAAAATAACCTATTAATTTGAAAAACAGATAGTAAAACAAAAAAAAATTGCATACTGAAATCATTTGGCAAAGTAAAAAAATGTTGCTTTTGTTGCTCTCCAACAGATGCAGTTTCAGGTATGGTTAATACTAAGCTACAGTATCACACATATAAAAATATCAGAAGTTCATGTTGTTGACTCATTACTGCCATACTTATTTTTATTGTTGAAAACCACTAGATCTAGTTCTATTGGTTTCTTTCCAGATTGAAAACATTTTAACCTAGAAAGCACAGAATTTCTTAAGACATTTGTAACTATTCACTGTGGATATCAAAATTACAATCATGCTGCATTGTATGAACAGTGATTTTTAAAATGTTCTTTACACATATGGTAAACAGGTGACCGATGCTGTCCAGGTTTGAAGATGCTGAGTGTTCATATAACTGATATTTAAAATTTTGATATGTATAACATTTGCCACTGAATATCAAGAATACATTACGTTGCTTATATAGAGTAAGTTCAAAATGGGGTCTTTTGTAGAAGCACTCATCCTGTTTAGAATGATATAACAGAAGCCTGAATGTTCATATATCAAACAAAGTGCCAGCTTTCTGTAGAAAAGATGTGTCAAAAAGTTTCTTTTTACCTTTAACGGGTGTGATTATGTAGTACAAAATGCAGAGTTTGTAAAATTTCTTGAATATACAGGCAAAAAAATGAATAATTCAGAACAGCTCATAAGTTCTACATTCTATTGTCCCTTTATAACACAGGCAGAAGATAGCAGTGTGCTCCCAGTAGAGCTGAATTTGCACAAGTTACACCTCTGAAAATGCCAGATGGTCTATGGTCTACTTTTGAGATCTGTCATATATGTAAAGATTTGAAAAAAGAAAGACAGGTGAATGAGAGTGGTGGATCGTTAAAGGGAGAGTGTGGGTCCCTGAGCATCACTTGTGTTTTAAGTAGCATTGTGTCATTCCCATATTAGCGTATTTTTTTTTAAAGCCACACTCAACTTTTATACAGTAAGGAAAAGAGATCTGTTTAAAGCCAGGTAATTATGGTTTAATCAGTCAAATGTTTTTGTTCTTTATTCAATAATAAAATCATGTTTCCAATTTGGTTTTAGTTATTATTATTATTATTACTATTATTATTATTTTAAATCCTCACCTGAGTATATTCTTATTGATTTTAGAAAGAGAGAGGCAGGGAGTGAGAGAGAAAAAAACATTGATGTGAGAGAGAAACAGTTGTCTCCTGAATGCACCCCGACCGGGGATCGAATCCAAAACCTAGGTATGTGCCCTGACTGGGAATGGAACGCACAACCTTCTGATGTACCAGCCAATGCTCCAACAACTGATTCATCTGGTCAGGGCAGTTGTTATTTTACTGTAAGATTCAGGTCTCACCCATGAATGATTATCAGTGAAATTAAAATAAATGTCTGTTGAGATAGCTAACATATCTAGGATTTCTCCAGTTTTGTTTTGACATATATAATACATGCATCTGACAGAATCATACAACTAAGAAAGTTTTAATGTTTAAAAAAAAAACTAGAATGAAGAGAATAACACTTGGTTCTCTGACCATAAAACTATAGTAAAAATAATTAGGTGACAGTGAAACAAAAATTAAGGTAGTATAATTTATCTGCCAACAGAAATAGATGCCATTTTGAAGACTGAGATAGAGAAAAATCATTAAGGATATGTTTGAATATCATTCCAGCCATACCCATAATTTGCATATAGCCAATTTTGATAGTAGAAAAAGGTCACATCTGCCATTTTTAGAATTGGGTGGCAAGATATATTTACTTGTGTTTTACCACCTTTATTTTTATGTATTGAGAGTGTTTAACTATTACATAGTGATTTTAAATTTATCTTGGATTATGGAATATTACAAGACATTTTTTATAAGAAATCTCCCCAGCATTGGTCAATGACATTTCAACTTAACCAAGCTTTCAGATTGCTTGAATTATTCTTTTCAGGAAAAAAAAAAAAAGTGGCCCAATATATTCCATTTATTGGTGAGACTACTGGAAAATGCTCTGAAAAGAGCACCAAATTTGGTTTAACTGTCTTTTTTGGCATCCCTTTAAGTAAATGTGTATAACTAGCTTTATATTTAATAGCTGTCATTAGGATGTCATTTTCATTGATATAAGAAGTTACAGGAGAGCAAATGGATCTCTAGATCAAAAGATTACTCACCCCTAAGAAATAGATCTCCTGTTGCAGATGCCTTGATTGCCAATTTTAGTTATATGAAGGGCATATATATCTTTTAAACAGAGGAGTAATCTTTTCTTCTTTTTTAAATCTTTTCATCAGAACTTAGGAGAAAAATAAAATATTTTAATACATTTTACAACCATTTGTGATATTCACAAATATTTAATTTTTGACAATTTTTCTCCTTTATTATTAAATAACTTAAAACATGAGATATTCAAGTTTTAGTTTTATAAATCATTTATTAAGGGTATAAGAGCATGCTTTTAAGTAAAAAAAAATCAGTTTGTCTTTTTCTTGAAATCTGTACATTTGTGAGTAGAATATTTTAATGTATTAAGATGTTTATCTTCAAAAGACATAGGGTATGGAATAAGAACAGATAAACAATGTGTGCTAAAAACATTCCCATATGCAAACTGCCTTCTTTGTAAAAAAAATAGATGCTGAGTCTTAGTTCCTAAATCACATATGATCAATTCCTTTTAGACATTATATGGCTTTGCATACAATAGGTTTTCTAAATTGAAGAGTTCTTAGTATTTAGATTTAATTAACATTTTATATCTGTTCATAATTATAAATTGAAAAGAAAGCTGATTATAACAACAGTTTCAGATTCTGAAATTCTAGGAAATTATAAATGTAAATTTTGACGATAATTTTTGTTATTGCTGTTTTTTTAACTGAAATAAATGCTTTGATTGATAGTGTTTCTTAGGAGCTCTACAGTCAAGGGAAATTTTGATTTTAATAATTACTATTAATCATTTAACTAGTATAAACCAATAAACTTTTTTGGGGCAATCAGAGCTCTTAGCTGCAAAACCAGAAACTATTTTGGCTAATTTAAATTGAGAATAAATTCATTAGTGGCACAGAGACTCTCAAGAGTTATACAGCTAAGGATCATGCCTCTACATTCAACTGGGCTTCTCTGATAAAAACCTCACTGATGTGCAGTTGGCCCACTGGTCTGCTAGAAAGTAGACATCAAACATTGGACCCAACGATATTTTTCTATATTGTCCACTTTGATATCTGAGTCCATTGTTCTTTTCCTTTCATTTCAAAAGATAATTCAGTAGTTTACAATTATCGGGGATAGCGAGATAGTATTTTGTGTTTCTGGCATCCACAAGAGGATCTGGTACATAGAAAACCATCCACTTTTGCTGTTGAATGAGTGTTGAACTACTTTTTCAAATTTCTAACTTCAATTTAGTTAAAAAACAAAACACTTTTTTTCTTTTTAAAATCCCTGTGTAATGTCACCTTTGATGATCTTTTTTCTCATTTTTCCTTTTAGGAAGGATGCTTTTTATTCATTATTGTTTATGTTATATGTATTTTTATTGTTATTATATACATATGTATTAGTGTTTTAGTTTTTTTCCTTTCATTTTTAGTATCATGAGTGAAATTCAAAAATGTCTGTTACTAAATGTATTTTATTTTAAAATATTAATTTCTTTTTTAACTAATAAATTTTTCCTGCTTTTTAACGTAGCGCAACCTCAGTGCTTGCCTCAACTTCAGACTTCAGCACAGGAACCAGTTGAGGAAGGAATAGGCAAGATAAAGAACTGCCACAAAAGTCTGAGCAATGGAAATGGAATTCATCATGGGACCAAAACTATATCTGCAGATAGTCGAAGACTCTCAGCTCCCGTTTCTCAAAAAATGCATAGAAAAATTCAGTCCAGCTTGTCTGTAAATAGTGATATCAATAAGAAGAGTAAAGTAAATGCTGTCTTTTCCCAAAAGCCAGGCTCTTCACCTGAAGGTAAGTGATACATACATATTTTGAGATACATACATATTTTGTTTGGCCATGTGTAAAATCCTATTCACTAATATTTAATAATTATTTGATCAAGTAAACATAAATGAAGAATCTTGCTTATCTGTCAGACAAATGGGAATTTTGGTAAAATGCAGCTTAAATCCCCAAAGGAGAAAATAGGCTGTAAACAGAAGCATTAGCAGCTGACATCCTGCTATTAGATTATTGTCTTCTTGAGTGAGTAGTCATTGGTTTATATATAATTACTTTTTTTTAAATACCACATTTAAAAATATGAATATAAGACTGTGGTGCCACATGAATGTATGTGAGTATTTCTTCTGTTTTTGGTTTAAAATGTTATTGTGTGGTTTAGAGATAAGATTACTTGCTTGCAAATCAGTTCTTAAATATATGAAACTAAACCAGGAAAAGATTTAGTAAATTTATCTTCTTGCCAAGGAGTGGGCCAGGTGATCTGTGTTGCTTGACTGACAAGCATCTTTCAGCCACCCTGCCCCATTCCAAACTCACTGTGTCCTGGCCTTTAGCTCCTCTCGAGAACTAATTATTACCTCTCCAACTCTGCCTCGTCCTTCCCTTGGCCAGGATGTGTTTATAACTTAAATTTTTTTATATTTTATGAAAATGATTTGCTGTATTACATTACAAAAGGATTAGTGTCCCTCGTATTTAAGGTTCCACATTTCTCCTAGCATATCTGTGTTCCTCTGTCCTTCCTCTGTCCTCTACCTTTAGCAGTTCTTGAGCATCAACCACTCAAATATTCCATCTAATATGTATCTATTTATTCCTTTTTAAAAATATTTTACTTATTTATGTTTTTAGAGAGGGGAAAGGAGGGAGAAGGAGAGGGAGAGAAACATCAGTGTGTGGTTGCCTCTTACATGCCCCCTGCTGGGGACCTGGCCTGCAGCCCAGGCAGGCATGTGCCCTGACTGGGAATCCAACTGGCAACCCTTTGGTTTGCAGGCTGGCACTCAATCTGCTGAGCCATACCAGCTAGGGCTATATATTTATTTCTTATTCTCTTTGCCTTTCTATTTTAATTGCCATGAAATCTTAAATAAAGGAAATTCTGTGGATGCTTCTGTGAAGTTGGTTATGCTTATTCATAGAGAGAAATTGAGTTGTAAATAGGAAATTGTGTTGAGAGTTAGCAGTAATGAGGAAGAGAAAGGATATTACATTTTGGGTACAGGTGTCTCAAATTCAACTGAGGTAAAGTGTTAAGTTGATCAAATGATATGATAATAAATGGTCTGCATAGTTCCAGGTCAGTGACACTACTTTCCAAACTAATTAGATGGAAGGGGACATGATTGACACTTTAAAATTAGTTTGACATGTTAGCTACATGGTCATCTCTGAAGCACAGGTAGGCTGTTAACTAAACTGGCTCTCCAAGGAGTTGGGAAGGCAATGCAATTTTCTTTAGAGTATCTTCACTTTTAGGTGATTGGGTGAAATAATTGAATGCAATTGAAACCCACTTGTTTTTTACATTTGAAGTTACTTAGTATGCCCCTAACCTCCTATTTTCCATTTGATATTTACTTATTATAAAGAACAGTAATATTTGCATATCAATCCAACTTAAAATTGCTTATGAAATTTTTATTAAGTTTTTCATTATTTGCCTGCTTTTAATATCATGTATGAATTTATTTCTGATGTAAGAATGCAGCTTCCTAAGCAACATAGAAAAGAAGTGGAAAATCAATAGTATATAAATGAAATGTAGTTCTACAATTTTTATTCTTTTCCCTTTCTTTTTTTTTTGTCTTCTCACATACACACACACACAATGATAGCTCACCACAAAAATATGGATGAGGGAAGTCCCTTGTAATCATGATGTTATCACAAACTCTGTTGAAGATTGGGTTTTAGGGGTGTGAGAAGTATGAAGCACAAATGAAGATGATTAACTATATTGTACAATATCCTATCTATAACTTTACTCTTAGGCTACAGAATTTATCCAGTTGTGGGTTTATTTTATTTTGGGTGCTTAAATCTAGATGAAAAATCCATTTTCCTAATTCATATTTTCTCAAATGTGTTTATGCTTTTTGCTGCTCTTTAAGGTTATGACCTAAAATTTTGTTTCTTCTGATTTTCAGTTTTAAAGTTGTTTATTTTCTTAGCAGTGCACTGTAGTTAAACAAACAAATGGGGAAAAAAGGCAAGCATAGAACTAGTAGATGGGAAATTAAAAGGAAAACATTCTCAGTTCTGCCATCTGCTAGCTGGAGGACTTGGGTTTCCCTGGGGTTTCTTTTTGTATAAAATGGTGTGAATGTGTGGACTGAAAATCTTCAAAGTAAGTTTCAGTTCCAGTAATCTATGATGCTTCTTTTATAGCAAAGTGACTTTTCTCTACAGACAGGTCTATTGCTATACAGACTATGTGGGATCCTTGGTTGAGAAGTTTTAATACAGGTGGAATAGGGCAACAGCAGAAAGGATTTTGATGAACAGACATAGCATCTGGATTTCAGGAGGGCTGTATTTCAGAATAGCAAGTCTTGAACAAGCTTGATTAGTTACACGAATAAAAAATGGATATAAATTATTTTTTAAGCAATAACAATGGGGAGATACAATAACGAGAATTTTCTTAATTCTGTGGGGTTTTTTATTGTTTTATATTTTTCTTAAGTCTTCATCATCTATATCTGTTCTTACAGCAAAATAAGCAAACAAGTAGTAAAATAATATTCACTGAAAACCTTAAAAAACAGCTAACCATGCCCAGTTTGACAGTGTATATTTTTCTGAATAAATGGTGATCATGATTATGCTCTTTGTATTGTACATAAATAATATCGAGAAGTAGAGGGGAATTTTGTGGTTCAGATGACAGAATTAAATAGTCATTTCATATATTTCAGTAAGATCACTGAGGACTTCTTTGCTGATTATGTTTGGAAAAAAATGCTAAGATATGGGTCTGTTACTTGTACAGAGGTAAGGTTGACCTAGCCACATAATTGAGACAGTGAGTTGGTGACATGGTTTAATATGTCTTTAACTGAGGGTTACCTCAGGCGTGAGTACACATAAACACATAGGCAAGGGCTGTATCAGATTCTCTTTTTAAGCTGTCTTGATTCATGTCGTTACTTAGATTCATACTGTATGCTAGGTATTGTTCTGTTTTGCTCATATAAACTCATTTAATCTTCCCAACATCACCATAATGCTATGAAACATACATAATTGTCTAATTATAAATGAGGAAACTGAGGCACAGAGAGGTTAATTAAAACCACCAAAGTCAGGCAAGCTAGAGGGGCAAGATGGTGGAGGAGGGAATGGAAGTCACACTGACCATATCCCAGGACCAGTCTGGGTTACAACTAAATTGTGAAGAAATCACCTAGAACAAAACACTGAAAAATAGGGAGAGAGAAGCCTTATAACCTTAGATGGAAGAATCAGCTTTAGCACAACCTGACTGGCAAGAAGTGTGGTGGAGACATGACAAGGCTGGCTGGGCGCCCACAGCGGCAGCTCCAGAGGGATATTTAAGTGGTCAGTTGGATCCCCCTGAGAAGAGTGGGGTCTAAACCATAAGTGGGGATCCCCAGCATACAGCACCACAACCCAAAGACTACAAAGATAACAGTCAGCTTTGAAAAGCATCAGGGTTGCTCTCTGCCAGAGATGGGTGGCTGGAGATGCAAAGAGCCATTTAAAGAGCCAACACATAATTTTTTATTTGTAGCCACTTACCCTGGGCTCTGGCAAAGACAGGGGCAGAGTGAGATAGAGATGCCTGAGGAGAGACTGGGGACAGATGGTTAGGGGAGAGAATAGGGAGAGTAGCCGGTAGGATCCTGGTGCTGAGTCATCCCCCATGTAGCAGCAGCCATTTTGCTTATGCAGAACGCTCCCCTCTGAGCAGCTTGAGGGAAAATGATAGCCCCAACCCCAGGAGTGATTCTGCCCCACTGTGTGGTGCTTAAGCATGACTGCTGAGTGCAGAGGGACGAGATTAGAAACTGAAGAAGATAGCCACAAACAGGATATTCCTGGAAGTCTCAAAATGACTACCTACGGTAAGATGGGGTCAACATCCAACTTCACCAGAAGCTGATCCAGAAAGAAAAAACAGTGGTAAATACTAGAGGCTACTAAGATGAAATCCAATGTGGTCTTCTCCATGATTTGCAATATTTTGTTTACAACATAGCTTTTTAACGTTAATTTTGGGTCCATCAAGTTTCAGCATATTAAGTCACTAGATTTTATATTAATAGTTTATTTCTCTCCATTCTCATAATAGTCTTAATCTCTTTATAGCCTTATTAATACTGGTTCATTTGCTATTGATAGTAGCATTGCAGGGGGGAGTAATTTCTGCGGATGTGGGTTTGTTTCCTGGGCTTTGTGGTTTTGTTCTGGCAACACCGGCACAAAAACACACAAGACATGGTAGGCAGAGTCACCCTCAGTCAACCAGCTGGAGGGAAGGAAGCACCAAAGAATGACCAAACAAAAATCAAAACCCAATTACTTCCTGAGAGGCAACATAAACAGCATAAAATACATCCAAGAGTAGCAAGTTCAGGAGATTAAGGAGAATACACCACTGAATCTCACAGGTCTCCTACCATAAAAGTTCACACCACAAAATCAGGAAGTCAAGACATGAATTTAAGAAGCACAAGTGAAAAAGAAGAGCCTCACAAATAATGTGAAGACAAAGAAGCAACCCCCAATCGAAAGGAAAGGAGGAATTCCCAGAAAGAGAACTCTATGAAATAGAAGCAAGTAAACTATCACATATTGAGTTCAAAACAATGGTTTTAAGGATGCTCAGTGAGCTCAGTGAGCTCAGGGAAAACTGCCAAAAAACTACAGGGAGACTATGAGGAATTTATATCAGCATGAAAAAGGACATAGAAACTCTCAATAAGATACAAGAGAAAATGAAGGATACAATTTATGAAATGAAGAGCACAGTCGAA